GAGGAGGGAAAAAAAGAGGAGGGAAAAAAAGGATCTGTAAATTTTTGACCTGTCAAGTCCACATGATCAGGAGTGAAGGTAAGATATACAGACTCACAGAGAAATTCTTCACATGTTATGAGAGTCTTTACAGGAAAGCATGTAAACTATTTAACAAATGATCCCAGAGAAACATTTCTCAGAAAGAGATGATTGTTCTAATTCCACAGGACAGGGGTTCTTACACAGGTTTTTTTGTCCTTCTCTTTTTTAGAAGTAATTACTGACTGTACCTTTTGAGGAGCTGTACGTTGTGAAGACTTTGATAATACTTTTCTAATAGGTCCTGATGCTGACAAAGATACCTATATAATCAAATAATTACAGTTAATTCTTTTTAATTTTCAACAATAATGTCAATTTCTAGTAATAATGATTGTTCTCTGTAAGCTGCTATCTACAGCTGTTAACAGTTGTCACATACCATGTTATGCTTGTGTAAGAGCTTTCCTCAGAAAACTAAAATTTCAAAGACTTCTAGATGCTTGCATTGTTTGACAAGCATTGAGGATGAGCATGACAATGCAGTTAAGGAGCTGAACTGCCAAAAGATGACATTACCCCTGTGATAAATACTATATTGCTATTTTTTAACCTATATGGTTGCAAATTCCACTAGTCTAGGCTGCTTAATCTTCTACAAGGCACGCATTTCACATCAAAGTAATCTGGAAGATTGCAAAGAGCCGCTCTGTTCTCCTACATTAGTTTTCTATAATGCTACTAATGAATGTTATATAAAAGAAATTTCCAAATATTTAAGCATATGAAAGCATCCATTGAAAATTTCTCTGCGCATGCAATAGCATAGTTTCTGATATTACCTACAACAAAAAAAACAAACCCCAGTAATTTGAGAAGACGAATATGTATTGCTGGAGAGATCAAGATTAAATACAAAATATGAACAAAAAATAACCCTGGATGCTGCACAACTTGTGAAAAATTCAAATTAAAGGTAATACATATATTTTTAAAAGTCAGAGGCAGCTGATTTGGTTTGGATTATTCAGGTTTCATAGAATCATAGAATGGGTTGGGTTGGATCATCCAGTTCCAACCCCCCTGCCAGGGGCAGGGACACCTTCCACCAGACCAGGCTGCTCCCAGCCCCATCCAGCCTGGCCTTGAGCACTGCCAGGGAGGGGGCAGCCACAGCTTCTCTGGGCAGCCTGTTCCAGTTTCTCACCACCCTCACTGGTGAGAATTTCTTCCCAGTATCTAATCTAAATCTATCCTCTCTGGGTTTGAAACCATTGCCCCTCACCCTATCACTATCCTCCCTGATCAAGAGTCCCTCCCCACCTTTCCTGTAGCCCCCTTTCAGTACTGAAGGCTGCTCTAAGGTCTCCCCAGAGCCTTCTCTTCTCCAGGCTAAATAACCCCAACTCTCTCAGCCTGTCCTCACAGGGGAGGTGCTCCAGGCCCCTGATCATCTACGTGACCCTCCTCTAGACGCACTCGAGCAGATTCAGGTCTTTCTTACACTGAGGACTCCACAGCTGGACACAGTACTGCAGGTAGAGTCTCACAAGAGCAGAGTAGAGGGGGAGAATCACCTCCCTCGACCTGCTAGCCACACTGATTTTGCTGCAGCCCAGGATTTCTTGCCTGCGAGCGCACATTGCTAGCTCACATTCAGTTTTTCATCCACCAACACCCCCCAGTCCTTCTCTGCAGGGCTGCTGTCAATGCACTCATCGCCCAGTCCGTATCTGTGCTTGGGATTGCCCCAACCCAGGTGCAAGACCTTGCACCTGGCCTCCTTGACCTTCATGAAGTTTGCACGGGACCACCTATCAAGCCTGTCAAGATCCCTCTGGATGGCCTCCCTTCCTTCCAGCGTGTCAGCTGCACCACACAGCTGGGTGTCATTTGCAAACTTTCCAAGGGGGCACTCACTCCCACTGTTCATATTGCCAACAAAGCTGTCAAAGAGCACAAATCCAAATAGCAACTCTTGAGGAGTGCCACTCATCACTGGCCTCCACTCTGACATCGAGCCATTGACCACGACTCTTTCAGTGCAACCATCCAGCCAATTTCTTATCCACTGAGTGGGCCATCCGTCAAATCCACGTGTCTCCAATTTAGAGACAAGTATGTCATGCAGGACAGCGTTGAATGCTTTGCACAAGTCCAGGTAGATGATGTCAGATGTTCTTCCCTTATCCACCAATGCTGTAACCCCATTGCAGGTGGTCATCAAATTTGCCAGGCACGGTTTGCCCTTAGTGAAGCCATGTCAGCTGTCACCAATCACCTCCTTATTTTCCATGTGCATTAGCATATTTTCCAGGAGGATCTACTACATGATCTTGCCAGGCACAGAGGTGAGACTGACTGGCCTGTAGTTCCACAGTCTTCCTTTTTTCCCTTTTTAAAAATGGGGGTCACATTTCCCCTCTTCCAGTCAGTGGGAACTTCATTGAACTGCCATGACTTCTCAAATATGACAGATAGTGGCTTAGCAACTTCATCTGTCAGTTACCTCAGGATCTGCAGATGCATCTCATCAGGTCCCATGGACTTGTTCATTTGGTCTCAAACCTGATCTCCTACAATGAGAGGTTCTTCCTTCTGTCAGTCCCTACCTTGGCCTTCTGCATCTTGGGCGGCGTGGCAGGATCACTTGCCGGTGAAGACTGAGGCAAAGAAGTTGCTGAGCACCTGAGCTTCCTCCATGTCCTGGGTAACCGGGTCTCCTGTTTCATTCTGTAGAGGGCCCACATTTTCCCTAGTCTTATTTTCGTCACCAGCGTTTCTATAGCAGTTTTTCTTGTGCCCTTGATGACTCCGGGCAGATTTAATTCTCTCAGGGCTTTGGTTTTCCTAACCTGATCCCTGGCTACTCGGACAATTTCTCTGTATTCCTCCCAGGTTACCTGTCCTTGTTTCCACCCTCTGTAGGCTTCCTTTTTTTCTTTGTCCAGGAGCTCCTTATTCATCCATGCAGGCCCTCTGGCATTTTTGACCGACTTCCTCTTCATTGGGATGCAACATTCCTGAGCTTGGAGAAGGTTCATCCTTGAATATTGGCCAGCTATCTTGGTTTTCAGAGACCATTTTAACATCTTCTACTGAGTTATTTATGGAGTCCTATCATTTGAGAGTCTGCTTTAGAAAAGGATATCTGCAGTCAAGTCTGCTTTACTTTGTACTCCAAAACAAGGTTCAGCTGCCCTGTAATACTTTCATTCCTTTAATGCCAATGGTTATTCTTTTTCTTACAGTACTGTTCAGCTGTAAATGAGTTCTTACAATTACTGTCATTGTCCTACAACTGGCACTGTCAGCTGCATCAACTCTTTTAAATTAGGCATTCATATCAATGAGAAATAAAGATTTGTTTGATTTGAAATGCTGTAACAATGAAAAAGCGATTAGAGAATAATAATTGGTGAATACTGCCTGTCTATACTTTTTCTGAAAACCTAACAAATGACTCAACATCTGAATTTAATTTAACTATGTCAAACAATTAATTTTAGTCAAATCACAGCCCCTTCGATCCAATCTAAGTGAAGGTCCACCTGTAATCACTGTTCCTCAAAACTGTCAGCAATTCTTCAGCATGTATTCTGCCACTACTAAGACTCTTAACAAACTAAAAATACCATATTTTAGAATCTTTTGCATGAAATACATGAACATACTCCAGAGAAACAACAGGTCACTGCTTTTATCCTTAATATCTCTTCTCTCTTTTCCTGAGAGAAACAATTTTCTTGTTTAATCATTAAACCTGAGAAAATATATGAACTATACTACAACACTGGAAATTCTAAAGACATAGATAAAAGATCAAATGAATAGTCAGCACCATAATTACACAAGATAAGTTGAAATATACTGGCCACAATACACTATACTATACTACACTATACGATAATCTCATACAACCTTACCTGCCAGATACGGATGATACAACCATACGCCATCAAACAATGCTGCTGATGAAAAGGAGAACTATGACCAGAAGTTAAAGCCATTAATGTCTGTGCTCTAAACAAAGCTTCCAATTGTTTAATATTACTCAAATCTTCCAAATTAATTTGGGGCATAGTATCATTTGCTCCAATGTCTATCTTCAAATTTTCTGTAGGCGAAAATTTTGGTAGAGTACTTTTTTCTGTTAAAAAACAAACAACATGCTGACAGTGACACTATTTTAAAAAATGTATTCAGAAGTTAAAATTGCTGAATTGAAAACGAAAATATTTATGGAAAAAAAAAAATCAGAAAAATGGAAATCCATCTACTGAAGATGTTGTTCTTATGGTGATGCAATGCTACTTGCACCATGTTTTCAATGAACAACATAACAGTTATGTACATCAAATGACGTAAGCCTGACAGAAATGAAATCCATTGCAAACTTACTTTAACTATGTCTTCTTGAAAAATAAATCTGTGGGAAAGATGGTCTAACTTATCTATTTCAGCCACTTAAGTAGTGTTGCAGTCAAATCAAAAATCCTCTTCATCCTGACATAGTGGTTTCTATGGTGACCAAAGACCATGTTCTAACTACCAGTAGCCTAGGAGGCAAGAAGTGTATTTGTCCAGCATTCATTTCCAAAACAGAAATGGGCAATAAACCAATTACAGATGGATCAATGTCAACTAAGTCTAGAACATAGCTTAAAGCTCATCCCTGTGTCTGTAATGAGATGTCTTAATGGCTCCTGATGGCAACTACAGAAGATACTTTGCTACTCAATCCTATTTCGTGATATGTAATTCTAGTAATTTTTCAGTAAACACTAATGTTTTATAGAAATTCCAACTCTGCTTGAAATTCAGCTCAAAACCAAGTCATTCAGCAGATTTTCAGCTTAAAGTGAAGTACCATAAAGACACAGTTCTCTTTCAACGTCAAATTGATGCTCCACAACATAAAGCAAAGTGCAGTACCAAAGCACCTACCACATAATTCAATGACTGTCACAGACCAAGTTATTAAAGTAACAGGCGAACTGAGAGGATTCTGAGCATGACTAGCACAGTATAAAGTCAGGGAAGGGTACAGTTCAGCAGATTAATTTTATTCTTTCATAATAAAAGATACAGATGGCAAGATACAGATAGGGTAGGCGGTCTGCAAGATGTGTAGGAATTGGCTTAAGGCTGCACTCAGATGGTGGTGATCAATGCTTTTTGCTCAGGCTGCCAGCCTGTCAAAAGTGGGGTCCCCCAGCGATCACTACCCATGCTGTCCAACATCTCCATAAATGATCTGGACAATGGGATTGAAACCACCCTCACCAAGTTTGCTGATGATACCAAACTGGGTGATGAGGTGGACACGTCAGAAGGGAGTGCCTTCTTATAGAGAGACCAGGACAGGCTGGAGAAGTGGGCTAGAAAGAACTGTATGAGATTTAACAAAGGCAAGGGCAAGGTCCTGCACCTGGGACAACGTAACCAAAGAGCGCAGTACAGACTAGGATCTGTGTGGCTGGGGAGCAGCCTTGCTGAAAAGGACCTGGGTCCTGGTGGACAACTAGCTGAACATGAGTCAGCAGTGTGCTGCTACAGCAATGAAGACAAAGTCAGATCATGGTCTGCATCATCAGATCATGGTCTGCATCAGCCGGGCATTACTAGGAGAGACGGAGATGTGACCATCCCACCCACTGTGCTCAGTGCTTGTAGGGCCACACCTGGAGTACTGTGTCCAGTTCTGGTCCGCACAAATCAAAAAAGACATAGACAGACCAGAGAGGGCTCAAAGGAGGGCCACAAAGATGATCAAAGCGCTGGAGAACCTGCCCTATGAAGAAAGTCTTAAGGAGCTAAGGTCTTTTCACCACAGAGAAGAGAAGGCTCATGGAGACATCATAACATTTTTCCAGTAAAAGGGCAGCTACAAAGACAACAGAGGCTCTCTCTTCACAAGAAGCCACACAGGTACAAGTTGCACCAGGAGAGGTTTCATCCTAATATAAGAAAGAAATTTTTTACAGCGAGAACAACCTATCAGTGGAACAACCTCCCCAGGGACGTGGTGGGGTCCCCATGACTGGAGGTTTTCAAGACACCGCTTGACAGGGTGATAGAAAATCTCATCGAGGCTCTCTTTTCCACAACAGGTGGGACCAGTTGATCTTTTGAGGTCCCCTCCAACCTGGGCTGCTTTATATTTGAATCTAATTTTTTTTATTTTTCAGTTTCCATTAAAAGTTTTGTAAAAAATCTCTTGAAATATAGGTGGTGTAAGAAGTCCAGTAATCATAAGCAACCATGTGAAACTGTGTGGGAGGATCATTAAAGAACAAGTACAAACTTTAAATTGCCATAGGGATGTAAAAAACCCCAACAAAAGCACTAATAAAAATTCAAACAGCATATTGCTGCTGTGACTTTAACCAAATGCGTGATACTAGAGACACTGAACATTAATCTTTTTCAATGCAAGTACCAGAAGTACTTGTCTGACCTATCTCATCTATCCACATGAAAAAAAGAGCAGAGCAGATGTTGGTTAATGCCACACAGTATTGTTCCAGAAATCAGATACTTTTTTTTTTCCAATTAAATAATGGGGTATCCTATCAAAATAGGTCACCAAGTCCATATCAATGCAAGCAGACACAAAGTTAAAGGACCAAAGAATTTTTACAGTTACCTAAGTACTTGAAAGTGTACATCCCTTTGAAAGTCATTTTTGAAAATCCAATCCTAAAACAACAGATAAAGCCAAGGAAAAAGCAATGGACACAGGTACCAAACCCTGACACAGAAACCATTTCCTACAGTCCCATTCAGCCCTCCATGAGGATGAACTTGAAACAAACTGCCTAGCACTGCCTTCTGGCAGCATCTCACAACTCAGGAACCCCTACATCAGATAGGAGGTGTAGCTTACTATATCAAAAGACTGAAGTTAGGTCTCCACAGCATGACACAGAATTCACAGACATATTTAAGCTAGCATTGAACAAATGACAGTGAATATTGCAGAAAATACCGCCAAGCTGGTGCCATTCTTTGTGGTAACTAAGTTGTAAATTAAAAATGCCCCTTGCATTTGCTGCTGAGAAAAACCCTGTGAAGGATATACAACTTTTACATACCTTCTTCTTGTGAGGATTGCATAGAAAATTTCATACGTAGCAAGATATCTACCACCCAGTCCAGAGGTTTAGTAACATCATTGAGGGGGAACTGGTTACAATATAACCATACAGCAAATTCCATCAGATAATCAGCTTTCTGCCATTCATTTTCTTTTTTCTATAAATGTAATAAAGGAAGAGTTTTTTTATATTTGGTGATGTAAACCATCTAAACATTATTTAGAAGTTCAATATAGTCTTAACAGAAACAAAGAATAGTAATTTGACAGTGAGCAGTTTTATTTGCATCACATAATCAGAGTTATGCTAAATGGAATGTAACAGAAAACTCTACCAGTTAACTCTGCTTTACCAAAACTTCTTGCAATTGGCTTACGACATTTTTCTTTGGCAGGACTCAGTTGAACTTTTACTGGATACTAAGATTCAACCATACACAGTTTTGCAAAAGAAATTTCAAAGTTGTAAAAAGTAATGGTCAAGTATATATGGCCTTCCCACCACTTCAGTTATATACTTCATAGAACCTGCAATCCCATGAATCACTTGAGAAACTTCATTCTATCAGCTTCTGAACATATAGCAAAAACTGACAAACCTGTAAAGCAACGATTGCATTTTGAAAACAGCTTAACTGTCCAACAATACTTCTGGAGACTGTTACCAAATGATGCCACATATGTGACAAATAATCTTCACTTTCATCTCTGAATTTCTGAATGTCCATCATAAAATTGCACCCCAATCCTGCCTTCACTGTAGCCATATGTTTAAAAATCAGGCTAGAAAAAGACAAAACAAATTGCAAATTATTTGCCTCTGTACCTGTAAAGTAACTTTGTGAGTAGGATAGGTATACTAGTTTGTATCAGTATAGCATAGAGACGTAAAGTTTATAAACTGACACAAAGGGCACAAACCTTTGAACTCTGGTAAGACTACGTTTGTAAACAATACCCTAGATAATTTAGTTTCCATTTAATGCAAATGTGTTTACAGCTAGGAAAATTAAAGTTTCTGCTATATAGCCACATTCCATGCACCTATTTTCTTGGAAAGTAAGATACTACTTATATACAAGTTCTCAAAAAACAAATTTTACAAATATTATGAACAGATTAATTATAAGAAGCACTGCCAACATATGTCTTTTTCATCAAAAAGACACACTTTCTGTTACAAGAACAGACAGCTCACAAAAAGTAATCATAACACTTACCCAATGAAAAATAAAAAAAATACTCAGAGTTTTATACTTGTCAAGAATCAGGATGCTTATTTTAATAAAAGTAAGTCAACCAACTTACAGCCTGTGTCTTGTCTGAGGCAACACTTGAATAGCTTCATCCAGGACTTTCAGTGCTGTCTCCCAATCGGCTTTATCAGCATATATGTGGAATAATAACCCACATAAGGAGGTTCTTAAAGTCAGATCTTCCTCAGCACCTTTGAAGTATATTCAAATGATTTATTAATATACTGCAGAATTGGAATAATGATATTACAAAATACTGGGGTTTTTATTATTATCAGATCAAAAGAAGGAAGAACATGCCTGGAAGGAAGCATCCAGCTGATACCCCGATATTTTGAAAATCCTTTGTAACCCACTGATGCAAAGGCAACGTATCTTTCTTCTCCTGAAAAGACCAAAAAAAAAAAGGGGGGGGCAAAAAAAAAGCTCTTTATCTTTCGGTTAACATATGTCTTAGTGTACTTCTGTTTCATTTCTAAACCAATTAATACAGTTAAGATGAACTATTAACCTGTAACTTAAATAGCTACTTGTGCAGGAGGTGAAAACCACAGCCATTTCTCCAGAACGAGTTCTATAATACTAAACCAATACAGCAATAACCAGACTCAGTAATATTCAATCAGTTACACTGATTAAATAACATGAAACCTGAAAGTACTCTGTCAGGTAATCACAGAACAGTTGAGGATGGCAGGACCCTATGGAGCTCTCTTGTCCACACCCCTGCTCAAAGCAGGCTGAAATACAGCAGGTTGCTCTGGGCCTTGTTCAGTCATCTTTCGAGTACTCCAAGCAGGCACTCCACAACCGCTCTGGTGAAAAACGAGTAACAGCTCATTTTTTCAGAGTATTTTCAAATCATTTTTAAAAGATGCCCCTGCTCATGGCGGAGGGTGTGGTGGGTGGTGGTGGTGGTGTTTGACTAGATATTTTTAAAGGTCCCTTCCAACCCAAACCATTCTATGAGTTTAGGCTTCTGTGGCAGTAACATGAGGGTAAGAACAGCTTCAGTACTGAGCACAGCAAACAGAGAAAAACCAACCTCTAATCTTGTTCTAAGAAAGCTAGTAATAGCAGCAGTAAAGCTTTTGTAGTACTTGCTTTTATTTAATTTTTTTAAACCCATTTTTAGTTTTCAGCTGTACGTATCTCAAGTAAGTGAATCATTGCCTTGCTGAACTAAACTAAAATTATCTTCTGGTATATGCTTCTCCAGATGTGATTGCATTTAAAAATTGTCTAGAGTTAGCCTGATCAAGGGTCACTGGAGACCAGTTCCTGCCTCTTAGAACGGTTACTACAGTATACAAAAAAAATTAATCAGTATCTTCAGAAACAATCAAATACAGAATGCTCTGTTTATAACTAGTATCAGAAGTTTAACTATGTAGTCTAACCCACAAGAACTACTAACAATTTCAGACATAAAAGTCTATGCTATGTATAACTGAATACTTTCATTATCTACATTAGCATCTTGCTTTGTAATACAACTTATTAACGGTTCACTCTGAAAACAGGCTGTGGTAGTGAGTTAACTATATATATATATATAATGAAGTATTCCTTTTTATTGGCTTTAAATGTACCATCTCTGCAAACAACTAAACCTTTGGAACTGTGCCAATGGGCAATTACTGTTATATATCCAAACACTGTCAAAGTTCCATTAAATTTACAGTCTTCACTGTGCTTCCATGTTACACAGTGTACTCATCAGTTCTATCTCCTACACACCCAGAATCAAGCAGACCAGTTACCATCGCTGATTATGATTTATACATGGCTGGAGGAGAAACCAAAATTAAGTTTTCTATTCCTGTAGTACACTGCTTGATGATTTGAGGTACAGACTCACATTGGTACCACTGAACTTGAGTGCAAGAGTTATTGATAAACCCTTTGAGCTCTAACTGAAATTGTGCCCATGGAGAAGCACGGGAAAACTCACATCATCTTCACTAGCATTTGAATGAAATCCAGAAAGAGAAATGGATTGGCTCCAGGCAATTTTGAAGTAAGAAAAATTGTAAATGTGTGCAGACGTTTCAGTGTGCAGAAGAAATTTCATATGGCAAGATGTGGCATACGATACACATCACCTACATATTGTTTCAAAGGCATGATGTCTTCAGTTTACACATGTTCTCCATAATCAACAAGTGTTTAATTTCTTCACTGACTCCCAGTACAGTTTAAATTATAACTCCTTCCTACTACCAAAGTGCTAAATAGTCTGTTAAAAAACTGAAGATATGCAAAGTAAAAATTCCTTTTTGCAGGTAGAAGAGAAGTTTGAATCTGCACGTGTGGAGAACCTTAATTTAGTTACCTTTTCTTTTTCCCCTGAGTTTGTGTTTTAAGATCTATTCTCATCCCTTCTGGAAGTGAAAGATTTTTTTCTAGATTTTCTGTTGCATATTTTCTAAACATTCCTTTTTGTAAGCTTCACCAAGTGAAACACTACAGCCCTTCAGACAGCAAATTATTTTGGAGAAAACTGTTGCAAGTTTGCCAATTGCCTAAAACCAGAACCGCCACCAAATGGGGGGAAAAAAAAAAAGTACGTAATTTCCTATACGTGTGAATGTGTGCTATGTGAATGCAGGTAAGAATGTGTTTATGAAAATAAGTCACTTTCCCCTCTTAGGAAAGGTATCTTGGCGCATTAAGCCAGAGTTTCAGAGTAAACCAAAATTTTTCTTAATCATCAGTAACAATCACTAAACACAAACACAATTAACAATACCTCCTAGATATTCTTACCTGTTTACTTTTAGATTCTGCTTTAATTATGTTCTTAAGAATTATTTCAGTAGGTTCTTTAAACTCTTCTCTGTCTTGTGGCGAACCTAGCAAAGGTAAACATGTATTCCAAAAGTGTCTAGCTGCAAGCATTACAAGGGAGTAATTTCCGGCTTCACCTGCATACCTGAAGAAAGTGAAGTACAGCTTAATGAAGGAAAACAATCACAGTCTAGCCAAAATAAAGGATTTTACTTGTATAAACATCCAGGTTTACCTGATCTAGGCACCACCATATATAATCTCAGCAATGAGGGGTTAGCATATGACCTTCATACAAAAGACATTTTCCATTTTTGTATACAAAACACCTTCATGCATTCAGCAGAAGTAGCAATAAACAAGTACCATATTGATGATTTAACTGTATTTATACGTAATCTTAGTTCAAGAGCCTTCATTAAAAAAATAGTAGACATCTACTTGAGACGTACTCACTGGAATAATCTACTTTTTTGGCTTCCTATTTCTCATTCTAAAAACACTAAAAAATAGAACAAAACAATTATGGAAATGCTATGGATTTTGCATAGTACAGTACCACCGTAACACAACATACCCTGAATGCCTCTAGCTGCATTTAAATTGTTTTGAGCATATTCCATGCAAATGTTACTTTGAATTAATAAAATCTAAGAATTTTCCAGATTGTGATACAACACAGTATTTGTATGAGTGAGCAAAAGCTTTAGAATTTAGCTAAAAATTACAGGTTGGTATTAAACAATCACTCATTGTACAGTTTTGCTATTTTCAAAAAAATAGTTTTTGAATCTGGTGATCTTTGTATTTTCTCCCGCAGTTTCATGATTTTTAGAGTCCATATGCTCACATACCTTATGTTTCAACACTAGACTTATTAAGGCCTAGTTTTTGCTCACCAGGTTTTGCCTCCCTTTTGGAATGTGTTGAGCTACATATATATGCTCAGTCCTTCCTGAAAAAGTGCTTACCGTAACACGCAAATTTAAAAAACATGCAGATTCATCTGCAACATGACTTCATGTTAGAGTTCTGTTACACTGGCTAGTCTAGCTTCATTCATCACTCTCTAAGTATCAATGGAAAGATGAAAGTATTACCACGTTAACAGCCTCACATCAGCCATCATATGTTCATCTTCTAAGAGTTCTAATTACCTACTTTTGCTCATTAATTTATTTCTTCCAAATAGCAGAGAATTCATACCAAAGTCATGCATCACCCATGTACCACCTTCACCTGCCTATTCATTATTTAAAGCAACCTTTCCACTTTGAGTTCATGACATACAGTTCACAATACGATGATCTGCCACAGCAGAGGCTGAGGACTGACTGGCTAGGGAGTAGTTCTGCTGAAAAGGACGTGGGGGTCTTGGCAGACAGCAAGCTGAAAACCAGCCAGCGGTGTGCTCTGGCAACAACAGCCGACCACATCCTGGCTGTATTAACAGGAACAGACAACAGATTGAGGGAATTATCACCCTCTAGTCAGCACTCTTTAGACCACATGTAGACTACTGCATCCAGTTCCAGGCCACTCAACACATGCCTGACATGGACAAACTGCAACTAGCTCAGTGGAGGGCCACCAAGATGACCCAGGGACTGAAGCACTTGCCTTGAGAACAGAGGCTGAGAGTACAGGGCTAGTTCAGCATAGAAAAGAGTTGGCTTTGGGGGAACCTAACAAGAAGTTTCTTAATAACCTAACAATGTTACCAAGAAGCTGCAGCCAGGCTCTTCACAGTGGATGGCAGGACAAGCAAGCACGGGCGTAAGTAGAAATAAGAAAGGTTCAGAGTGGATATAAGCAGAAACATTTCCCCCATGAGTACAGCCAAGCAGCAGAGCAGGTTACTCACAGAGGTTGTGCAGCCTCCATTCCCGGAGGTTTTCAAGACCAGCCTGGATAAAGCCCTGGCCTGGCCCTGCTTTGACCAGGAGTTTGGACTACAGCCCTTCTGAGGTCCTTTCTGATCAGATTTTTCTATGATCCTACAACATTACAAGATCAGCTATGTGGAAGGTACTTCATAAACTTACTAAACTGTAAAAATCTGTCAAATCCTCTGTCAGGCATTTCAGTTCACAACTATTTTGATTTTTATCAGTCTTAGGAGAGAATATGTTGATCCCCAAATCTATAAATCAAATTTTATGTCTGTTTTATATTAGTCTTCTCTCAAAATAAAACATACCTGGCACCCTGAACAAAGGCTTTTGATGCTGCTACACGCAAATGTTTTCTTCCAGACAAATTTTCCATTATACTCTTTCCTTGTATACAGGCAGTAACACTTAACATTTCTTGTCTCACTCCGTTACCAGGCCTGAATAAAGGCAAATAATTCAAGAAGTGCTAGTCTTACAGTCTAAGAACGTATCAGTTTTTATTAATGCTGCTTTCAAGTTTTTACTAAACAAACGTCCCTAGCTTTGGAAGTTACAAATGCTTCTACTGACTTTTCTTTTGAAATCAGGAAATCTTCGAAAAATTAACCATTTTGTGAAAAGATACCAGAAATAAAACATATTTTCCACAGCCCTGATGAAAATAACTGAAATCAGATTTAAAAAATTATTATCTACATTTAGCAAGGGGAGAAAATAAATTTGGCATTTTCTCCCCATTATTCACTATTGTACATCAAAATATTAGCCCAAAGTCAAAACTACATGGCAAGCAATTAAAAACAGAAATAGGGAAAATCAGACAATTTTTGATTCTTTCAGAATTGATCTCAGTTATGTCTGGTAAAGTATGTACAGGGCTCTGGAGAAATTGATTTGGATCGTATCTACCACATTTAAAAGAGAAGAACGTAGATTTCTATTCCAGCAGTTAAACAGTTAAAAATAAATAAGTAAACAAACTTGATACCTTTGCTTAATCGTGATTTTATAAGAAAAGAAGTAATATAATTTGCAAGATTTTTTTTAACATCTTATTACAATGTAAAACCATACACTGAAACGTAGACGTACTAGTTAACCTAGTTCCTACCCTGTGGTGAGAGCTATCATGCAGTTATGGATTGTGTCCACCAGAGGACACCAGTGCTCTACAGCACAAGTTAACAACAACAACAACAACAACAAGAAGTTAAAAATAAATATTTAACCCTTCTTTGTCCTTAAGCTGTGCTTTATCAGGAGAAGACTAAGTTTATCTTCTGTTTCTCTGGAAACAGCACTGGCAATACATGACTACATTTCTTTGTCAAAGAATCTAACATTTTATCATTCGCTAGTTTGCAGATTGCTAGATATACAACAAATATTTTCTCAATTTCTGTAATGTTCTGAAACTATATATTTCATACTAAGATACCTTAATTTGATTTTATGTGTTATTCTCCATGTAGCAAACAACCATGAATTTCAAAGAGCAGATTTTTTTTTTAAAAGAGAAATTATTTTCAGTGAGAAAAATGAACAATAAATTACATCTGAAGTGTTTCACATGTTCATTTCAAACTTACTACATTCTAACAAATTTTTACTAAATGGAGTCAATTCATTCCTCTTTTGATAAAATTACGTTCTGTTTTTGGAGGAAATAATATAAAAAAAATAGAAGGACTGAAGGATATCACCTTTTTATAATAAAGGACTCCACCAACAGATCCATTTGTATACGTAACTTTTTTTCTTTTTTTTTCCTTTGAGATTAAAGTTTTAAATTACCAGTTAAGTAAGACACTGGGCTTTTAAAGAAATTAGTTACATTCCTATTGCACCCATATGCATAGGTGGTAATAAAGACCATATAGACGACCTGACACAGTTCACAGAATAAGATGGAGGTATGAGTGCTAACAGGTGATCACAGCTCTGGTGTCAGGTCTACCATGAACTCTGTAGACCCTTTGTGTACTAGAGCCAGCTCAGCATTGGAAGCAATTTGTATCAGCAAAAGAAGTAGAATAAGCTACTTTCTGCTTGAAAATTATAAAACTGTGAAAAGACTATGATTGCCAGAGACCATTTCAGGAAAGCAATGCTCCCCAGAAAGACACTCAAATGCATGTATGTATGACCTGTTGACTCACTTGGATAACAAAATTCATGTATCTTCCAGAACTGGGTCCAGAACCACAATCAGGATCTCACACTGCCTTTTACTCAGGCTACACCACAGAGTTAAACATCATCTGCAGCACTTAAGTAACTGGCAATGACAGAGTCAGCAGAAGGAGGAAAACTTCACTTTCACCTCTAACTGTAAAAAAAGATTGTTTCACTTTTGGTTATGTGATCAGATGCATTTACCCTATATACTCTTTCTTCAAGACTTAGTTTGGGTATACCACAGTATCATGCAAAATTCCATGTACTTACATTTCATATTTCTTAGTATCTCTATTGTGGAAAAAATTCTCAGCTGATTGCAAGATCCTTTTGGAGCAAGTCATCACTGTTTCATAGTCATTTGATACATATGCAAAATATGTAAGTCGTGTCAGTGTCTGCAATTCCACTAAGGAATCTGACCAACTGCATTCTAAAGCCAATTTCACTAACTGGAAAAAACCAAACAAACATACAAACAAACAAAAATACCAGGAAATAAAAGAGAGTTAAGAGAGTTTAAATCTCAGGTTTTTATCATGCTCTCTTCTATAGCACTTACATGCTTACAGCTGTACCTGGACATGGAACAAGCACGTGATGAAACAATCTAGAAACCCAAAGAGTTACAAGAACCATCAAGATACAGAACAGAGAAGCATCATACACCTTGTAGTAAGTATTGTAATAGTGTATGTAAATCCAGCTGTAAGTGCACATCCCTTTTGACCAGCAGTATCTGCCAGGACTTAGACATTCTCTGTCCTTGTCTGAAAATCAGTGGAACAGGGCTTCCAAATTTCAGAGCCCATTTTAGTTAAGCCAAAGGTAAGAATGGGAGAGAGAACTGTTTTTACAGCAACAGTGTTTCATATATAGATTCATTATAGGATCTAAATGTCTTCCTTGCTTTTGCACGCATCAGTCAGGAAGTTCTATCTCTAAGATACTGGGAATTGCTAATGAATTGGTCAAAATAAGGATACTACAATACTGCTCTCCAAAACGAAGCCACTGAAGTAATAGCTAAAGCTAACTCATAATAATTTGCATAAATCTGTAGACAATCTGGAATTAGATACCTGTATATTTATAAGGACTCAGATCCTAGTCTTTAGAAAGAAGGACTTCTACAAAAGTGTTAAGACAATGATTCCTAGCTAAATGGGGAAGTACATCATAGTCTTTTAAGAAAGCTCTTTACAGGAGTTACAAATGATAGTTGTGGTAATCAAACAGGGAAGACTACAACTCACTGTTTTGAAAATACAGGGTAAAAGTCTTTTGATACCACCTCTAGTCGTCTTGAATAGTCTGGTAACCAACAGGATCACAGGAAAAGTGTGGCACTATTCAGCACGAGTAATTATGGAAGACTGATCAAAAGCAAGTACTTTAAGAAACTGTGCCTTGTATGAGACTCATCAAAAAGCCTCCTAATTCTTTAAACAGTAACAAATAGTAGTTGTGTTCTACCTTGCAACCGCCAAAAGTGAATTCACTATAACATGAAGTTTTCTTCAGCTGAAATTCTGAATACTTCCAATACAAACCCTAAAATACAACTTTCTACAACTACCCAAAAGGAGACTGTAGTGAGGTGGGTGTTGGTCTCTTCTCCCAACGAACAAGCGATAGGATGAGAGGAAACGGCCTCAAGTTGCACCAGGGGAGGTTTAGATTGGACATGAGAAACAATTTCTTCACTGAAAGGGCTCTCAAGCATTGGAATAGTCTGCCCAGGGAAGTGGTGGAGTCACCATCCCTGGAGGTATTTAGAAGACGTGTAGATGTGGCACTGAGAGACATGGTTTAGTGGTGGACTTGGCATGTTAGGTTTACACTTGGACTCCATGATCTTAAAAGGAACCTAAATGATTCTATGATTCTATAAAGTTTTCTCCACAAAAAATGAAAGGTCAGAGGTATGGGTCTGTACAGAATTCATATGAACCCATTATACTCATCTGATGGTTACGGAAATAATCAGTTAGAGCAACATGGGAATAATGCTGATTATTCTAATTCTATTAATACCAGTATTCTAATGCTATCTGTTTTTTGGATAAACAAAAATATTCAGTTACAAAAATTGTCTACCTGTCACAACTATTCCATCTCTTGGAAAGTTTTAAAGGAAACAATGGTACAATAAAAGTTTCAAAATTAATTTTGCCTCCATCCAAAACTGAAAGTGAAATCACATTTATACTATGCAATTTCTTAAAACACGAGAGCTAATAAAACAAAACTAAATACCTGAGATAAGCTAGGAAGAGTGAAATCCACGAGACCCAAGCCATTACATGAATACATCTCCAGACCAACGAGAATTCTTGTCATAGGATTTTGTGCTTCATCGTTATTCTAAACAGAAATAAAAAAATCCAGATTAAGAGATTTTATTTTTTTGCAAGTAAACACTATTTAATTTTTCAAAGAAAAGTTTCAACATCACGCAGGATTTCAGATAAATAATACCTCCTCCTCAGTCCCAACTTTATGTCTGATCTGCTGCTGATTTAACTGTTTTGCCTTCACCCACGTAGCAATGATCTGTTGCAGTGCAGCAATAGGTACTGTTTCACTAGGGATGGTTCCAGCTGTTGCACGGAAGGCAAATTCACAAATCTAAACACCAAGAAGAAAAAAAAACAACAAAGACTACAACATGGGGGAAAGCTCTTTGTACGGAACATGCCATCCTTCAGTTATTTTAAAATTAGTGCACATGCATCTCTAAGCCTAACAATATCTCCATTAAGTCAACCCATCTAGCAAATACGAAGTTATGGTCCTCAGCCCCTGTTGGTAAGGAACTTCGGTGTGCATTTGGGGAGGACCTGCAGCGGCAGGAATTTTAAAAGATGGTAGCTTATTTTTTGCAAAAATGTCTACAATTTAATTTATATGAATTGTAATACATGACAGCAGACCAAAAAAGACTACAAAAAAACCCGTGGGCTTTGTACCTCTAAGGCAGCTTTAATATCAGGAAGTCCACTGGGATCTACTGAAAGAGACTCGATGACATTCGCTTTTTTGTGTTTCTTTGCTGCAGGTTTTCTGCTTCTGTCTGTTGCTGCATCTTTTTTTTTCTTCTCAGCCAGTTTTGGCTTTGGAATCCAACAAAGAATTAAGCCCCGAGCCAAAGCATTACATAACATCAATAAAATCACAGTACTTCTGTAGCAGAAAACAAAAATCAGAAGTGCATACTGCATCAGATCAAAGTAAGAGGAAGTAATACATTTTATCACTTTCAAGTAATAAACATTACTTGAAAATCTAGATTTTTCTTAGAAAGTTAAAATGGTTAAATGTACAAAAAACTACAACCAACTTTCATAGTTCACATCATATGGTTTCTATAATTTCTATAATTGAAGCGTCTACTTCCTCATAGGACAAAAAAAAAAGAAAAAAATTATGTCAGATGAACACATTTAAAATAAAATTTTTTTATTAGTGGGCTGCTATGCATGAAAATAGAAACTACTTCCCAGAAAATTAACCTAAGCCAAGCCCCTCACCATTTATTTCTTTATTACACTGTATTACTCTTCATGCCAATCAACTGCTGAGCTGGAATCGCCTTTTTTTTTTTTTTGAGAAAACACAAACTGAAGTATGACTAAGAGATTATTGCTGATATGTGCTAATATAAATATCAGAATTCATAACCAAGTATTACCAATCTGAATCTCTGCACAAACCGTACTTTAGGCTTTGTTCTCCGATAGTGTTAAAAGACCCTTCTTTGCTGCTGGTCCTATCAGTTTGCCTAGTGCCGAGAACACTGTCAATAATGTGCTAAAAATTCTAGGATTTTGTCCCACAGTCTGACTTTGACTTGAGCATCTCCTCTGTCATAGTCAATCATTCTCCCATTGCATTTACTACAGAACAGAATTTCTCTAAACCACCGTGGAATCTACTTTCCTGTTTTCATGGTCTATTAATGTGCACAATCCCTTTTTTTTTTTTCTCTTTTCTCTTATGTTTCAGAACCAGTAGTAACCACCTTACTCTGATTAGAAATACTTCCAATGAATTGTATTTACAATATGATATTTACAATATAATTCAACTTCAGAGTAACTGACAGCAAGCAAACACACTTCAAGCTGTCCTGCAAACTCACAGGCTAAGAAAATTTTCACAATTCTTTCTGACTAGCTTAACAAAATGCTATTTCACATGTGTGTGCTTCTATCCCACAATGACAAGACATTAATGTTGCCTAGTCTAAAGTTAATACGGCTTACAGAGAATAGTAACAAAGAACAAACAGAAAGGAATAAAAAGTAATTTTCACACCACAAACCCAAATTTATCTTCTGAACTACTCTGTATACATCAAAGTCTTTCTACTACAAATGAAAGCCAGCAGTAAGAGTCTTTCACAGCACAAAGTGATTTACAATGTTTGTAAAAATGTTTTTTCAGTTTTAGAAAAAAAGACCACGTTCATAATCAAACATCTAAAATTACCCATTGTGCCCAACAGTCTTGATGGCTCCAAGAAGAGTCTGCAGATACTTAATAATTTTCCTCTGTCTTCCTGAAGAGATAAGATGTCTACTGTAGTTTAAGACATACACCACGGCATTGTGAACAATCCAGGCTTCATTCAATTCTTCTCCTATTTCGGCTGCACGTTGAAAGTTTTCCATAGCATACTGAGATAAGTAGTCTATCCACAAACTAGAAAATTAGTATAAAGAAGCTGTTATTCCAAAACTTTAACACTAGAAGGAATTACATTGTAAGGTTAAATATGCAGTGGTACATCTCAGTCAATGACAACAAAAAATTATTTTTCAGTTGCATTTATTAAGTCTTCATTCATTAACTTACATTTTACTTGGATGAGAAGACGACTCAGGAAAGGAATTAGTATCAACACAAAATGAAGTCTCTGACACGCAAATGCTATTAGCTTAAAAAATAGTGGCTATAGCTCATGGTTCATCCACATGGCTTTTTAAAATGCATGTGTGAATCCACACTCAGTGCTAGAAATCATTAAGTATTCATGGCAGGGCTCTACTTGAACACAGATACAAGTAAGGCATTCCACTCAAGTGCTAAGGAGGCTTTTTCACTTAAAAACTGCACGTGTTCTTGCACTCAAAGATATCTTTAGATGTTCTGAAATGCTAAATTCATTTTTGATAGAATAACATCTCTTTCATAGTCTATGCAATAACTTTCTTTCAATAACTTTGTTTCTTTTCTTCTTTTTTTCTTAATTGTCGAGATGTACCATTACTTAGAAAAAGCAATATTAAAAATACAGTCTGGAATGACCATACAGAATGGCCATGGTTAAGTCACACACCAAAAGCACAAACTGACACAGGGTATTACTGTGTCAACAACGGTACAGGACACAGTAGACCAAAGTATTTTTTCCTATGAGTCTTTAATCCAATTGGGTGAACTCAAAAACAGTTTAGTAGCAAATTTTGGAACAGAATCCTCATCTTTGTCCCTTGGTTCTGATCAGTTTATACTTTTCCCTGTTTTACTGAACATTTGCAAGCAGGCAGTGTGAGAAACTTTACTTAATCTTCAGACTTAATGAACAGACTTAGGGACACAACTCTGACATACTGCTCTTCCAGGAGATGACCACTATCACAGTAAGGCTAATATTAGTATGAATGTGAACAGAAGAGAGTATAAATATGACCTTCAGAATTCTCCCCGCTCTCCTCCTTCACAAGAAATAATCGTGTGAAGCCAGAGAAAAAACAATACTTGCTGTGTTCTACTCTCCCTTATTCATTTAAGTTGATTTGATGGAACGGATTAGTTTTGCAAACTGAAGTAATCAATTGTATGTATTCGGGTACTCAGACTACATTATAGTCACAGGAGTATAAAGCAAGACAAAGAGTTTTTTGATTTGGGGAAATACATTTTTAAATATAGAATTTCATGGTCTAAATGTCAATATAACACAGATTTAATAGTTTTTAAGACTGGGCTACTAGCTTCTAGTTTCAGAGAAATAAATGTTAAATGAAAAATAAAATGCACAGTTCAGAATGAAAGCAAACTAAAGAAAAATTATTTCAAACTATTTTTTTAGATTATTTTCCCATTACCATGACTACCTATGAATATGAAGCATCTGGTGACAATGAATTTTACTAAGAAATAACTTTTCCAATTATCATCTGTGTGTGATAATACCAATCTGTTAGAGTGCCAAGGCCTTGCTGTACGTTAAAGAAAGCACCTGTATGTTTTCCATTCTGGATCACTTTCAGGAAGACATGAAGCATATCCTGGACAATACTGGCTTCTATCTTCTGGAGGTACAGCATGATCATTCAGTTCAATTCCCTGCAATCTTAATAAATGAACAGTTGCCTGGAAGGATAGAAAGAAATAAATTTTCTACCCAGGTTATCATTGTGAAAATAGACTGTGACTCAGTGTTGTTACCTCCTCAAAAATTTAAAAATACAAAATGCTTTTCCAGACGTTGTACAGGCATTACAACTATACATAACAACGCAAAACACTTCATCTTCCAAATTTCTACAGCTAGTTTTACTAAATAATTTCATTGAGAAGAAAACAACAAAGAAATTTTTTATATATACACATACCTCTCTCTCTAAATATATATTTTAAAAAAAAAAAATCATGCTGGAACTTTAAGGATCCAGAAACATAATGTCACATGTCAGTCAAACATCTACAGTGCAATCCCTTGTAAAAAAAGTGCTATCACGACCTGCAGTTAAACTATTGCTATAGTAACTTTCATACAGTATTTTGATAAAGATGCTTCATGAAACTACTTCTTCCTTTAGTTCCTGTGGAGATAGACAATAATTAAACTAAAAATTCCAGTGCTTTAAGATTTATCCATAAAGTTATACATAAAACAATGCTAAAGGAAACAAATATGAATGACAGCTGTGTAATTTATTTACCTCTGCATTAATGAACCTTATTTCTGCTAATATTCTGAGTAAATCCCTTTCAAAAGAGGACTTAGCAGGCAGTAATGATTCTCCTGATACGCTGTCACCTTGATCATCATCCACTGTAGTTGTACTATCTTTGTTCTTCTGTGCTAAAAATAAATATATAAATAACTAAATAAATCCTTCATTATTACCATGCAAATTAGAAAAAAAATCACCTTCATTTTAAAATTTAAAAATCCCTACATATTCTTAACTCCACAAGAAAGAGTTAGCAAGGACAGATTTAAAATTATTTCACTTAACTTTTTTTCATCAGTACAATTTATTGCACTCAAAACCTGTTCTTCTCAAGCACTGCTTAAGTATTGGTTACCCGTGATTTTGCTGCATTTGTGCATAAACTTCAATATTTGCAGCAAATAACTTGCTCCAGTCATAACATGCATACTGAAATTATATTAATATGAATATAACCCAAAGCCTGTAGTTCAGTTTTATTGCTTCAATGGAAGCGGAGCGCTGGACACTATGTAGTAGCTAAAATCTCAGTGCATTTAAATCGTGAATGGGTTTGACTTCGCAGCAACATACACATCAACGAAGAGGAAAACAGCATTGTTTTTCTCTGGTTTAATAATGAAGGACCAAGATTATTTTAATACAAACACAAAGTAAGAGCATAAAAGCTGTCAGAATGGGTTCCCTCTACATTGTTGGCCAATTGTTTGAGGGAAGGCATAAAAAGTAGGATACACAAAGCCACTTTTCTACCTGGCCTATCTTCACAGTTTTTCAGAATCTGCATCCAAGCAACCTCCTGAACGAGACATTCTGTTCAATCCATCAAGTTCAATACTCTTTGACAAATCTAACTTATTAGTCTTCATCTAATTTTTTTTAAACTATACAGGCTGCCCATGGCAGTAGTGGTGTCTCCATCCCTGGAGGTACTTAAAAGATGTGCAGATGTGGCACTGAGGGACACGGTTTAGCGGTGGACTTGGCAGTGCTGGGTTAATAGTTGGACTCTATTATCTTAAAGGTCTTTTCCAACCTAAATGATTCTATGATATTCCAAAATAACCTTTTAATTTCTGTTAAAAGTAATGTTTTTGTTTTCTTAAAACCTACAGTCTGATAATTTGACTGGATTGCTCCTGGTTCCTAGACCAATCGCGTGTATCTACTTTCTCCAGACTAGGCGTGTTTCATCTTTCATCTCTCTTCCAAACTAAAGGGAAAAAGAAACACTTACCAGAAACTCAGGGCAACTATGCACCAAAAGCATCATTAATAAGAACTGGTATGTTCTTTTTCTGTAACTCTAGAACATCTTCGATTATTTGCCTTTAATCAGTCCTGACAACTCAGCAAGCCTCTGCAGATGGTCTTCACACCACAACAATTATCTTTGCCCTATCCTCAATATGATATATATTAAAGGTAACCTTTCATTTTTCTCACCTACTAATCCTAGAATTAGTAGCAGCAAAAAAATACGAAGCGGAACATGAAAATGAATGGGGCCAACAATTCTCAGAGAACTCCACTCGAACATAAATTTCTCATCCTGCCTTGAGTATCTACAAGCTTATTCACATTTCATCTAACTACAAGTAGTATTTCCAGTTAGAAACTGCCTGGAATAGATTACCTCAACTGCTCTGCCAAACACAGCATTGTTTCCTTTGCATTGCAGAAACATGCAGCGCTCAATGAAGGGTTTCCAGGAGGCCACTTTACAGTTCTTGAGAGTGAAGACCTTCAGTGAGGTCATAGTTATTGTTTAATTCCTAGTGAAGATCTACCTCTGAAAGCATTGACCAACTTCAGCAACCTCGTAACAAACTTTGATCGAACCATTTTAAACACTTCTGAACAGAGATGAGAAGTGTCTTGATCTCCTGCCTAACCAGAAACAGTGTTTAGACTGACACAGACAGAATTATAAAGCCCTGTAAACATTCAGAGTATAAGAAAGACACCTTGACCTTGGAGATACAAAACTTGTGAAAGAAGAAAAGAATATACCAGTTCCTATTAATGATCCTTTTAGCGCATGGTTGCCCTAAGTTTCTGCCAAATACTTCTTTTTTCCCTTTAGTTTGGAAAAGACATGAAAGATGAAACACGGCTAGTCTGGAGATGCCCAACTTGTGAAAGAAAACAGGTAAATTATTGTGCCATTTTAAGTGGACCATGGAAACAATGTAGAGAAAAAAGTGGAATAGGTTCATTTAACATTGGCTAGAGAAAAAAAAAAACCACAACAGACAACAGAGTGTGTACTAGAATTTAATCTATTCTTAAAGATGAGTTTTATGAAATCCCAGAGAAAAAAAACCTGTAACAGATATACGTAAAAATCAGCAAGCAGCCAGTGGTTTGAAAAATCTTTCCCTGAGTTGAAAACTCGTTTAACATGTGTGGTGGGTTTTCAGCAGACCCTCAAGGAACAAAGCACAATGTTGGATATCTCAGAGGAACCAGTAATAAGGGAAAAAAGGGTAAAAAAATGTTACCATACGAGCCTCACACAAAGTGACTGATAATCTATTTTTCTTCAGCTTCCTCAGGTAATCAAGTATGACAGAGATGGATAATATGGGCCTAGATTACCATCAGGGAATGAACCTATTTTCTTAGATGGGTAGATACATTTCATTAAGTACTTTTCTTTACCACTCATGAAACACTTCTGAAGGCAGAGTATGTTTCCACAGAAAAAAGTATTGACTGATTTCTAGAATCAGAGGTAGAAAGAATATTCCATGTACGTCAACAAGCAGCGACACACAAGAGTCTCAGGAAACTTTGGGAATCGGAGGGAAGAAAATAATAATATTGGTTGACTCTTCAAGTAACTCTAATAAATGAGGGAAAAGTTCCTCTTACAACATTCAAAATAAATTGTTCACTTACTTTTGTTAGGTTTTTTTACCTTCCTAAACAAAGTATCATCATACAAGAGACAAAATCTGCATGCTGCACGGCAGACATCCCATACTTCTCGTTTACGTGCAACTTTTGCCAAATCTGCCCAAAGTATAATCCTACCAAAGAAAAAGCATATGTAAAAATCACTTCATAAGCAGGATTATCTTCAGGATCAACAACAAAAAAAAATCACATCAATAATGATGGCCACCATAAAGGAAATTTTAAAACTAATAAAAATTAATAAATGGAAGAATTATCAGTAGCAAAGATAGCACTATTACTTATTAATTTTAAAAAAATATCCCCTCAGCATACAAAATTCTTGGTTTGGATAGTAACTATACAGAAATTTCAAAATGTGTGAGACACCCCTAATTATCTATCTTATAAAATAAACTAAGATAAATATTTCAAAACTGATGTTGAGGATTTCAAAATAGGTCTTGAAAACAAGTTTGGATTTAGAATTTTTAGAAAACGATTTAGTTCAAATTTCATCACAGGAGTTTTTAGTGCAGCAAAAAAAAGGAAACACCTCCTTTTAAATAAAGTATGACAAAATGAAATATAAACAGTCAAAACAAAACCTGTGATTTTCCTACAGATTAATCTTTCTGACCCTCTGAATGGACTACCTCACGTCTTTATCAAAAAAGTTGTAGTATGCAATGTGGTACAAGGACCTAAAAAGACACTTCAACAACGTTTCAATAGTACATCAAGTTTTTCAGTCTTCCAGCCTTAATCTACTCATTCTTCCGTGTGTCCAGTTCATATCAAAAGAATGGGTTAGCTTATGTGTGCATGTGAGCGAGTAGACTAGGAACAGCAAAAGAGTACACTTATGCATAGCATGTGAAATGGAACTTTTCAGACAAAGTTAAACACATGCTTAAATGCTCTGCCAGGTCTGACTGAAGTATTCAGCCTCTTCCAAGGTACCATCAAGTAACTTAGCAGCTGCAATAAGAAACTTCCCCATTAGAGACTTCCACACAGGATGAAACAGATGCTTCCTGTCTATAGTAATTACCTCTCTCTGTCATCTTCATTTCTTAAGTGTTTCAAATGTTCATCAGCTTTCTCCATGCTTTTAATATGATGTTGTGCTTTTGCACAGAGGTAGCTTATTTGACTCCTACCTTTACCTGAGGCAACTTAGCAAAGAAAAAAGAATTTAAGGTAATTTTTAAGTATTACAGATGAAAAAATCCACATGAAGGATACATAATTTGATTCATAACTATTTTCTGAAACACTTGAAATACAGCCCTTTTTTTCAGTTCCTCAAGCTTTCTCCAAACCAACTAACCAACATGAAAAAACCCACACCCCACCAGAAACTATTCTGGCTTTCCTCTATGTTCAGATATAGTTGTCCCAAAACCTGATCTATGATTGTTTGGCCCCCAAATAGCTCAGTACACCTCTTTTCTGGCAGGACATGCACTGCTCTAATTAGCCTCACTCAAAAGTAAATGGATGAAGTAATATGTAAATTTCAGATTTGTGCTGAATTTTAAGAACACTTATCTAACCAAACAGATTTTCAATCAATATTAAAGTTCTATTGTTTTGTTTTAATTTGAGAATACTGACTTTTGGTTTATTTAGTCAACCAGATATTGGGCAAAAATATTAAACAAAGAAATAACCAACACAGAAAAAGGATGCAAGGGACAAGCTGGCCCCCTGAGGCAGAAAATTACTTCAGTGATACAGATGCATCAAAAAGAGATATTTTTTTTTGCAGTGTAATGACATAGAAGTGATGCTTTGCATTGGAATACAACTTGATGTGACTAGGAAAACTGATGAGTTTGTACATTCACTCAAATCTAAGTGATGATCCCTATCATAATGCAGAAACTTCTGAAAATACCACTTAAAATTGATCTTGGATAAGTACATTCAGGAGTTGCACACAGTGAAAATAAAACTACAGCACAACTTACAGCACGCTACAGCAAAACAACAAGATTCAGATGAATCCAGAAAGGAAAACAACAACATTTCTTCTTCCAGTATCACAAGATAAATATTAGATCCCTAACGAAATCAACAGGAGTTTTGCCACAGAATTCAGCAGAACTGTCATTTCACCTGTATTGCAATATTCTCTACGTGTTGCCACTAGATGTTATGTCCAGCCCTTAGGACTGTGCAAAGCAGTCAAAGTCAAGCGTAGTGACTTTTAGTCACCCATATGTACATTACCTTTAGCGTCATTTTCACTGTCAAGGACCACTTGAAATGAACCAGGAGCTAGTGCAAGACCTGCATTTACCAGAAAGGACCTCATTTTCCTCACATTATCCTTCTGCTTTCCCCTTTTAGCCTAAGTAAAGAAAAGAACTAATTATTATAAGTTTCATTTTTATTATATTCCTATTTATACATCTTTTTTTTACTAAACAGAACAGAACACCGATCATCTAACTTGGTACTACCAACAAAATACCTATAGGAATTGTGTTTCTTCATGTATGTTACACATTATTCTGGAGTATTACTGTTGTTGAAAGTGACTATAGAACTTTGGTTGATCTTGACATGAATACATCAAAGATAACAATACCAAGTACTACTCATGGTCCTCATGGATCTCTACATTATATTCCTCAGTGTATAACCTGTCATTGTTACACTTTCTTAAACAAAGAACACTATTTAGAAACCGACCTTTGTGCAATAACTAGGAATTGCTACAAAGTATAAAAAAAATCCTAGTCCACTCAGAATTAGCCAAAGTCAGAGGAGGTGTAAGTGCTTTTTAAAAATAATATTTAAACAGAGTAAGCTTGCATGGAAAAGCATTAAAACTAGACAAAAAAAAAAAATCTTCATTCTTCTTTCACTCACTAGCAGCTTTCCAGTACTGATTCTAGGTTGAGTGAATACATCTTCATTTCTGTGAATATCCCAGAACAGTGTACAGCTGAAATTTCTTTTAGCCAATAACAATCAGCTGCCAATAAGATTTTTCTTCAAGTGCTGAGGCACCACACCAGAATTAGATGCAGTAACTCTTGTCAATGACTACACTATGACTTTAGATGTCATTTTAGTGTGATGTGACTTTAGTGTCATTTATAAGTGTGACTCAATAGTGATTTATCTCAAAGTCAGCTATGATGTTTAGAATCATAGAATACTTTAGGTTGGAAGGGACCTCTAAAGGCCATCAAGTCCAACCCTCCCGCAGTAAGCAAGGACATCTTTAGCTGGATCAGGTTGCTGAGGGCCCCTCATCGAACCTGACCTTGAATCTTTCCAGGGATGGGGCATCTATCACCTCTCTGGGCAACCTATGCCAGTAGCTCATTGTAAAACTTTTTTTCCATATATCTAGTCTAAATTTACACTCTTTTAGTTTAAAACCATTGCCCCTCATCCTATCGCTACACCCCCTGATCAAGAGTCACTCCCCACCTTTCCTGTAGCCCCCTTTCAGCACTGAAGGCCGCTCTAAGGTCTCCCTGGAGCCTTCTCTTCTCCAGGCTGAACACCTCCACCTCTCTCAGCCTGTCCTCACAGGGGAGCTGCTCCAGCCCCTGAGCATCTTCATGTCCCTCCTCTGGACCCGCTCGAGCAGGTCCATGTCTGTCTTGTGCTGGGGTCCCCAGAGCTGGACGCAGCCCTGCAGGGGGGGTCTCACCAGGGCAGAGCAGAGGGGCAGAATCCCCTCCCTCGACCTGCTGCCACGCTGCTCTTGGTGCAGCCCAGGATGCGATTGGCTTTCTGGGCTGTGAGCGCACATTGTTGGGTCGTGTCCAGTCTTTCACCCACCAGCACCCCCAAGTCCTTCTTAGCAGGGCTGCTCTCATCCCCCAGCCAGTACTGATACCAGAGGTTGCTCTGACCCAGGTGCAAGATCCTGCACTTGGCCTTGAACCTCATGATGTTCACACAGGCCCACTTCTCAAGCTGCTTTACCTATTTGGCCACTGCTTCCCTCATTAATTAAAACACTCTTCCATGCAACAAAATCTTAATTGTTGACAACTATGAATAGGCTTCTTTTTTGCTGATGTTTTTGCTAATGAATAACTTACCCTACTCCCCATGAAGTAAGCTTTGAACATAACTGGAAAAAAATCCTCTATCACAATCTTCACAGTCTGAAGCAGCATGACCACCACAGAGAGAATTCAGAGTTTTTCAAGGCAACCAACCACTGTCAATTTGCTGAAAGCAAGCTGATGCTGGCTCTTCTACTAGGCAGTTCTACTAAACAGCTGGCTTTCCTCTGCCAGAATTTAATAAGCAAACCTATTTCAGCTACTGACCTTATTCTTCATGATTACCTGTTCAATCATCATTACTGCCTGATCCTCTAGACGCTTAGGTGACTTATACAGCGTAGTGCACAAACGAAGACGGTTAAAAGTCAGTCTTAGATGTTCTTGATACTGCCCACTGTTGTTTAGACGTATAGCTTTTTGCAAATGTTCCACAGCAGCCTCTATTCTATCTCCATCTTCTTCAATACGAGCTATTTCCATATGAACTTGGCAACGCAACAAAACCAACATGCTAAGGAATATGAATTTAGATGTAAACTGTTAAAGTGTGGCAAACTAAAATACTTAGACCTAAATACTACCACCCAAAAGTTAAACTCAATAATTAAAAGTGACCCCAGTATGAAAACAGATATTCCTTTTTTAATTTACTTGCCTCTCATTTTCACTATCATGCCTCTTTAATGAAATTACTTAGAAAATTTAACTGCATTTTACTTCCATTAACACTAAGTAAGAAGACACAGCCATGAGGAAGCAATCTATCTTGTAGACTAACTGATCTTAGTGTATTAGCAGAACTCTTTTTCCCTACCACACTGAAGATACCACTTAGGTACACAAATCAAGTGAACAGATTTTCAAAAGTATTTATTAACTCTCAAAGACAGCATGATGTACTGTATAACGGCCACTTTTGATAGAAGTTCACTGTCTTCATAACATTTAAGTAGAAGGCAATACTTCTAAATATGTAGCCTGATTGTACGAGCTCACCACCTTTAAAGATCTGGCTCACCACAGGCATACACACTCACTGCAGGCAGTGTCTTTGTCCCAATGTTGCTGAAACCACTCTATGAAGTCAGCATGTTTTCAGTGAAGACTGCACATCCTCCAGTCTCAGGTACACTATGCTCCCTATCCATCACCTGCCCCAGGATGCTGCTCATGGTAGCTGTGAGCTCTGCATGCTACTTTAGATTATTTCCAGGAAGAAAACCAAATAACCTGACTGAGCAAACGTCGCCTTTTTCCTGCAGGCCAAAGTAGCTACAATTAATGCTACAATCAAAACAAAAACGAAGACAGGTAAATTAATAGGGACAAGCGACTTCATTCAATCTCTAGTGATGGTACCACCTCAGAGCTGAGGTTGAGTCTACTGGATTTCAGTCTACCAGACTGTTAGGAATATACGGATAATAAAAGCCAAAACCCTAATCCCCAAAAACCCTAACCTGCAAGCTTTTAGAGAAAAATTGTCATTACTGACATTTAGTATATATATCAAGGACACATATGCTGATAATTGCACTCTTTATATGGAAAGCATACGAAATGCCTGAATAACAGTATAGTAATACAATGTAGTGTTTTTATACATGTGTATATCTGCTTCTTCAGGCTTCCATTTCCTCTTTATGCAACTAAAAAATTACATTTTAAAACCACTGAAAACGTACTCCTCACCTTCCTCTGTAATACTTTTATCAGAAACCAGCTACTGTTCTGCTCAAGTGACAGATTATGTCGATTGTAACTAGCTCTACTGCAAAAGTTACGATCTTTGTTCTTAGTAGCCAGCCTATGTATAGGTCCAAACTTAACTAAGTACCACACACTAAGGTTTACTTGTTCCACTCAAATTAACGAAAACGGTGCATCTATTTAGGTGCTTAAAGTTAAGTACAGTGCAACAGCAAACAGAAGAATAAATCTTAAAAAAAAAAAATTAAATTTTCTTAATACAGCAGGTTTTTCAATTAAAAAGTATCACCGAAGATACAAAAATAGTATCTTGCAAGAAGTGTCTTAATTAATATGTAATACAAAAGCCATAATGTTTTTTAAAAATATTTTTAATTGTACATTTTTAACCAACAAAAGTGATGTTAATACACGATTCTAAACCACATTCCAACACATTCACTCATACTGCAGCTTAGAAATTTTCCCACATAATTTTGATTAACTATAGTATTTTTCAGATCCTAACAAAATTAAATATTTGCTATAGGCCATTAACAAGTGTGAGATTTTGCCTGAAAGAAACATATATTTAAATGATTAATGACGAAATGTAAGCAATACAGAGACATTAACTTATTACAAGCTAGAGGAAAATTGTCAAAGACACACATCCTAGAGCTTGAGCTTTTAAATGAGTGTGATGCTTAGTCATCAATGATCATTGCTCACTTTCAATGTAACCAATAAAAAAAGCACACAGCATAGAAAGTTACCTGTCAATCTCTTCAAGGACATCAGCAACTGCTATCAACGGCTTTTGCACATGTTGATGCAAATTGTGTTGTAGTAGCGGTAAGCACAGATTCCACTGGGTTGTACAAACAACCTGAATCACATCCGGATCTCCCAACTGAACTGCATGTTTTAAGGTTAAATCAAGGTTTTTTATCAATTCCAGCTGAGCCTACACAAATAAAAAATTAATTAGCATATATTGCATTAAATGAACACAACTTCTTACATGTTACTCCAAATTTTAATCTCAGGATTGTTTCCAACAGAAAGCATTCCTTCAGCCAGCAGACTTTGGAAACTTTTTTAAAAATATTTTTTAAAAAAATAATTTCTTTAATAATAACTTTTTTTTTAATACGCATTGATAATTAAGGAGTATTTCTTTCAGGTACTCCATGCTGCTACTACATATTTCAGGCAGAAGTCTGTCGGCTATTTCCCTTTCTTATGATAAACAGAATTTGATAATTGTGAAATATTTGTGAATTCAGAATGAGAATGCTTAACTTTTTTTTTTTTTTTCCACTAAGCCGCAAATGAAGTGTATGAGAGGAAAAAATAAAATATTATGAATGGGATTTTCCATACTGTCAATTAAACTCGGTTCCTATTAAATCTAAAAGCAAATCCTTACCTTCAGTAACAGACACTTGCTAATGATTACGTTCTTTTTAGAGGTTATGCAATAAAAAAAGAAAAAAAAATCAAACAAAAATCGTCTCCAACTGCATACACTTTGGTAGGAATATTTAGGAATTCCTAAATCTCTAAATACCCTATACTTTATTTAAGCAGTATTAGTAGTGTTTCATATGATGAGGAATTACTGAAAATTTTCTTTCAAAAAGTGAATGGAATTTCTGAACTTCAAAATGAGAACAGTCACAGATAGGAGTAAGTTTACGCACTAACACTATTGATTTCCATGACGTACCCATACTTTCCATTTTAGGAACCTTAGGTGCCTCTTAATAGCTGTTCTAAATTGCTCATTGTAAGCATCTGTCTAATCCCATTGATAATACTGTTAATTTAGGCTTTTACTTTTGATGGTCTGAACTACAACTGAGTCAACTGACTACAGAAGTCTAAGAAAATCCTCCCCAGTGTGACAATTTTATCAGGAATAATCTGCATTTCTCTGACATAAGAATTTGTATGAGATCACCCATAACATGCAATAATAGTTGAGTTGGACTCAATGATCCTTATGGGTCCCTTCCAACTTGAGATAGTCTATGGAAATACCTCCCATAAACTAAAATACAAAAACGAGACAACAAAGTTGTGACAACTGTTGCCTTTGCATGCCTCAATGCTACTATCTTTACTCTTGGAAAGTAATATATTATGAACCTTTATAGTCAGACAGAAGACTTAAGGGAGGAATACAGAAGTATTATTTTTCCCTGTTTTCCTCTTGGCAGCCCAATTAGAAAGAACAGAAAGTTTAAAAGAACTTCTGATCAGTGTAATGTAAGTAAGACACACAAATCCAATGCAATTTTCCACATTTCACAAATTAAAACTTTTACTTTTCTCTCAAAGTTACTATTAAAGAACATACCTCAACAACTCCTTTGGTATAAGTCACAATTTTAGTGCCATTTTTTTTAATTTCATATTCACATTCCAGGCATTCTATTTCAATAAGTTTCCCTTGCTCCTATGAATTATTAATACACAAAATGCTAATTTTAATAATTTAAAAGGAACACAATGAAGATTAAACCCATGCAATTACACTAATACAGCACTGTACTTTCTTACTGAAAACCCCACTACACTAGCCAATTAACTGAAGCAACGTAAAGGGAGTAGAATTTGTTGTTTGAACAGCAGTCACTTCTTACTAAGCTGAAGCTGCAGAATAACGTTACCAGGATTTTTAAAGCTGTTCATTGCTAGACTTTGCAATAAGAAAACCAGTGTACACTTGATGTTTCCTGTACCATAATTTGATTTCAGTTCCAATAGATTCTTGCTGACTAATGTTACTAAAATGTTACATGCTTGGAATGAACATGAGCTAGTCAAGACAGAAAGGATTCATCTTGATGGGAAGTGCAACTTTTAAGTGAAAGAAAAGGTTAGATTTTTAACAACTCAGGAAACATCTGGCTATTAAATCAAACAAATTATAAGTACAGATCACCTAACATATTTTGTATTTGGTTTCATATGGTACAGGAGGAAAGCCAGATAGCTTCTCCATTCATCGTTTATTATGAACTATTATCAAACCCCTCAGCATAGCCTTTGTTAATTTAACATCCTCATGTCTGGAAAACAGATAAGATCTTGAGAAACTTAGATGAATGTAAACCTGCCACTATCATGCAATGACAAATACACAGAGAGATAGAATTCATGTAATGGCTGAGAAATTTGTCAGTATTTGGAAAAAGCCAAAGAACTGGAACTTGATACAGACTTCTGGCACTCCACCATAAAGAGCTCACTATCAAAATGATGTCGGGCAATCTGAAGATGGTCACTTAAACACTCACTAACCCTACAGGAGAAGAGAAGGTTGAGATAGAAGCAAGGCTTCTCTACCGCTGCCGTATAGGTACTTGCTATCACTATCTATACAAATACTCAAACTAAATCCTTGTGAATCTTTGACCTAGAGTATTTAAACAGATCTTCCAGTGGAATTATATGGAATTGTGTAAGATTTTAGACTTGCGGGACATTTTCAGAAAAAATGGGCCTGGAGCAGACACCTGGAATAAAAAAAATTTCAGTGAGGAAAAGTAAAATTTACATTACAAGTAACTCAAAGTAGGATCATTATAATAGAAATTTGGAAGTAAGTTTTGAAATCCGTTTGGCAGTATTTGCCACTTTTATTTCCTTATATGCATATTTCTTGTAACTAGAAACTTATGGGGATCACAACACAACAAGGCACTTTTTCACACATTTTTGTGTCTGAAAAACGTACTGATTGTCTGAATACAGTGATGAACAGGTCTGTTTCTCAAGGGATGTACTTGTTTTGCCTGGGATATAGTCAGCTGTCTTCACAGTAGCTTGTACAGGACTAGGGTTGGGATTTGTGCTGAAAACAGCATTGATAAGAGACGGATCTGTTAGTGCTGAGCAGTGCTTGCACAGCATCAGGGCTGCTCTGCTCCTCACCCCGCCCCACCAGCGAGCAGGCTGGAGGTGCACAAGGAGCTGGGAGGGGACACAGCCAGGACAGCTGACCCCAATGGGCCAAAGGGATATTCCAGACCATATGACGTTACGCTTAGTAATAAAACAGGGGGAGGAGGTTAGCAGGGGGACCACTGCTCAGGGACTGGCTGGGCATCAGTCAGTTGGTGGCGAGCAGATGTTTTCATTTGCATCACTTGTCTCTTCTTGCGTTTTATTTTTCTCTCTGTTATTTTTCCCCTCATATTTTCCTTACAATTTATTAATAATAATAATTTTTTAATTATTAAACTGTTTTTATCTCAACCCATGAGTTTTCTCACTTTTACCCTTCCAATTCTCTCCCCCATCCCACCAGGGGGGAACGGAACAATGAGGAAGGAACAGAAAAAACAAATCGCAGAGCCAGCTGGACATGAGAATCAAAAAGGGCATACATATTGAAAGACAAGTTATTAGGGAGATCACTCAAAAATTTGATCTAAGAATAGCCCTACAGTAACATTATAATAAAAGTACTACAGAAGAGTAAAAATTAAATGTCAACAAATCCAATAAGAGTTTGCTGGAAAATGAATCAGTCCTACTAAAGGAAATTGGGAAATGTATAGGAACAAACACCGTCAGAAAAGTTCCACCCAAAGGAAAGGATTAGGGAGTGCAGTTTGTGGCACAATGTCTCTGGATTTCTTGCTCCAACCACAGAACTATGCTGCTTAAATCCTACTTTCCAGAAAAGGTAACAACTTTGGGGCCTTTTTTTTTTTTCCAAGCTTTTTTGAACTCCTCCTTCCATCAGTCCCCTAATCATGCTCCAGACAAATGCTGTTTTCTCCTCATCAAAATTAGAATTCATATGCTGTTCTGCAAGGCTGATATTGTACTCATAAAGACTAAAGTGAACGTATGCAACATTAATTGCTTTTAGAGCTTACATCTTGGTGACCAATTTCAATCTCAAAAGGTAAATTGGTTAAATCTTCAGAACCTGCAGGCAGTATTTAACTTCCAATCAAACTGTTCCACAGATAACATTTTAAAAAATAGGCAAAAATTTACAGTTAAAGTTTATTTGCCAAAACTAACTGCACTGCTTACCGCCCTATCCCACCTTCTGACCTTACATCTTCCCTCTAGTTTAAGAATAGATCGCTTATCCAAGTAACTATTTATATGAATGAATTTGTAAACAATACAGAGATGGAAAGAAGATCCTAGAACCATCAGTATTATTTTTAAAGTATAATCACAAGGTGATGAGGAAGTGGGGGGGGGGGGGGGGGGGGAAAAATAATACTTACAGTAATCCCAGCTGTCTTCAAATCAAGAATACAATCACAGGCAAGCTTAATGCAGTTTACTTTCATAGAAAAGCGAGCTAATTCCAGAATCAAAGGAATCCTTCAAAAACAGAAAAATGTCCCTTCAGAGAATCTGATATTGCTCTTTTACAGAACTAGAAAAACACTATATGAAAGTAACTTTGTGCAACGTATCTGAAAACGCTGAAGTCATCTGAATATTAGAGGACACATGATTATACTAGTAATGCTCACAGTTAACAAGCAAAAAATAAAATAACAAAGTTGGCTACACGAAAAATACAAAAGTTCATCTGTTCATGGAAAATAATTGGTATACTTCTACTGTAGTCTTGCATAAACTGTTCCTGAAGAAAATAAAAAATATAGAATTGAATGTATGCAGCACAAAGATTGTAAAAGAGCAAATTTAAGATTGCAGGTAATTCTGTAAATACAAGGCAGTCAACTGGCACACAACTTAAAACAGTCAAATCCATGGGTCAATTATTTAGGACCTAAGAACACAGAACACACCCAGTAGGAGACTGTGTTCTGAATGTTTGTATCTCCATGAATAACCGAATCAGCATAGTGTGCTGTCTGGGGATAGGAGAAGTAATGATACACGTAAGTATCATCAAAGAAGGTTGACCTTAACAAGTAAAAATATAGTATTACTTCCATATCTAACAGCTGTGATACAACTACTGGAGCAGAGAATTCAGTTTAGTCTGCATTTCAAAATTATGCCGGAAGAATCTGGAAGGACCCCAAGAAAAGCTAAAAATGAACTAAAGTCTGGAAGCACTTGTCAATTCTAAGACCTTTTCAAAATCTCATTTTATCAACAAGAAATGGTTATGGAAAGATTCAATCACATTAGACAAACAGCTATACAGAAGAAGATATTTAATCTTTGGTTCTTCAATAAAGCCCAAAAGGACCTTCTCTTTTTTTAAGATGACCTAAGTGTTAACACAACACAAACTATGATAACCAAGTACGAGTTCACCCTCTTCAAGATCAACAGGAATTTTGACAGACTTCAGTGGAAGTAGGATCAGCTTCAGCATCAACTGTCACCAGCCTATGATAAGTAAAACTCACTTCACACTGAGAACAGATGCTGGAGGTACATCGTATTGTTTCAGAAGTTCATATAAAGAATTCAGATTTGCGGTGGCATCACTGGGAAATTCATTTGTGTCCCACTGCCTGCAATATATTAGAAATTTATCATAATTTTTCACAAGAAATACTATTGCATTAAAAATTTGAAATAAATCTACCAACTTTAGAATGGATGGCTCTTGGTCCGATGTATGAGTGGGATTCTTGGATTTTGAAACATCAAAGAAAATAAATTTTTAAATCAAGTCAACAAAACCTACTTCAGTATCCCAGGTAAGCTACTCGGAGACAGTCAGATACAAAGCACAAAGAACATTACAGCATAAAACTTAGTATTTCAGACAGTAAATTTTATTCCAGAAGCAAAGAAAAATGGTGTGCAAAACTCCTTTCCTATAATGTCAACATAAATTAATCCACTGTTACTAAGAAAAGAACGTATGCTTTTAAAATGGGGAAGTATTGAGACATTGGGGGAAAAAAAAAAAAAGAGGAAGAGATTTTGTTATGAAATCTAATTTTCAAAATTGTTTTATGCCTTTTAAATTTAATTAGTTTAAAAAGTCTTATGCTTCCCATCATTGCGATTCACACATTTTAGTTTAAGCGTGATTCATCTTTACTCTCTCATATGTGACTTGTGTACTGAACTGCAACCTGTTGAGTACAAAAATGACTTTCAATCTCTTAAATTCTTTCACCTGAGAATATCTGTACAACACATCCTTCCCTCCATTCCCAAAGAACTATCTCACTTTTTGGCTGAGGCTGTTCCCTAGACAGGTCTGACAGTTACCACCCAAACTGCCATTACAGATTTCCTTTTGAGAAATTAATATCAAGCATCAAAGTACAAGTAGAAGGATACATTTTCATACTTACAATTTTAACATCTGCATTTTATAAATAATTGAAAAATGGATGGAATTCTCTATTTCCTTCTCCACCTGGGAAATATCCATTAGTTTGTGATACACCTATAAAATATCAATTTAATTATTAATTGACTAGATAAGCAAACAAAGGGCAGACATTCAACAGGGCTAAAATAATTCAGGTGTGTTGCCTGTAGGCTTTTTCGTGGACTTTAAGGGCAGTGAGGCTACTACGATAACCTATCTTATTCTACATAGATACCACAAAGATGAACCTAGCAGAGCTGTACTAATCTTCACATAGTGAGGGTCAGAAGTATTAGCAGAAATCTAAATGTAGAATTAACATCTGAGTTAGAATTCTAACCAATGCATTTTTAATAACAATTTTGATAGCACACATTCTGAAATCAACTCATCCAGCTACGAGAAATAAGCCCTATTCAAATTTATCTGTAATTATAAATTATATATAACAAAAAATATTACGAAGAAATGGCAATAACCTGTAGTTTGCTTTAACTGTAGAGTTACACATTAAACACATGAACATCATTTCTTCTGACTTTCTCACACGGACTGCCCATAGCAATCCATGCTGATTACTTAAGCTGTACTAGCATGGTAAGTTTTATAGGACTTAGGTATGCCGCTACTGAAGCACTCAATTGTGTGGGTCATATGTCTATAGAGCTGCTGAGACACATAGCACAAGTACAATTTTAGAACTACTTTATTCTTCCGTTTAAGGCCACTGTCAAATAGCTTCACTCAACACTGCCTCTAAAAAATACAAAACTCATTTCGAGGTTGCCTAAACGTTATCGCTTCACTAATATGACACCTCCAGAAGGTTATATATTGGTTTCCCTAATTCAAATGTTAAAGAACTTCGTATTATAAATATACGCTCTTGAAACGCAGTGACTAGGAGTGGACAGAAAAAGACAACAGAAAGTGTAGCAGAATGAAAGAAAATATGACTGCATGCAACTTCCAATTTTGTTTGCCTATTTCTGCTTTTGCCTCATTTGTCTTCACTCTCTTATTTCCCAAATTAAGGGCATGCAAGAAATGCGAACTATTGTCATACACCCCAATTCCCAGAACTATTTACAGGGTTCAAGTTGGGTCATTTAAGTATTTATCAGCATGGGAAAAGTCAACAGATGCTAAATATGCCCTCAATAGCATAAGGCAGGTTAAGTTGCACCCATTACCCTTCTGCATTAATAGTAATTATTCCCAAACAGAATCTTTAGGGTCAGTAATAGTTATTCTGATGATATTATGTTGTATTAAAATAACATGGAGCAGTAGGGAGCTCTTTAGCTTCTAGTATCAAAAATATACAAACTGTAAAAACCTCTGGATACTGACTCTATCGTTTGGTAGCTCACAAAATTTAAATGAAGGAAACAACATATCCAACAATTTTAACTACGATCTTATGAATAACATAGAGAACGCTCCCGTCTTACTGACAGTTTAAAATATTTTACAGAATTACCATCAGAGAAAATATTTGAGAGTATTTATCTGGAACACGTTCCTTAATAAAGACTGCTGCAGTAGATGAAAATTCTTTTGCTTCTTTCAGTTTTGAAGCATCGAGGAAGCACTCAAGTAAATTTCTGCAGATCAAATAAATATTTGTATTAAATACATATTAACGCCTTCTGAAATAATTCTTATTTATATTTTTTCAAGAGACTTTCTATATTCAAGGTAACACTCCTAAATGCAGTACAAGTGATCAGTGCCATAAAGCATTGACTCAACATGAAAGAGATCCTCTAACTTGTGCATCTTTCTTCTGGAGATAAACAGCTGTCAACATGCATTTATTACAGATCACAAAAATAATCCTGGAAAAGGAGATTTTTGTGAAAATTTTTCTCAACAGGACACCTGGAATTAAAACAATTAATTAGTTAAAGTCATATAAGAAAAACATTTCTAGGAGATGTATTGTAAGATACTCCCTTAACTACTGGAAAGGCTAGTATTTCAAAGCCATCTAGCAATAGAAGACTACTCATGTTAGGAACTGCAACACATCCACTGCCTTTTCAATGCTTTATCTGATTTAACTGAAAAAGAGCCTGGGATTCCATAAAATAAACTAACAACAACAACATTAATAATAAAAAATATTTTAAAAATACGCATGTAAGAAAAAATAAACACTACCATTAGTTTTATGACACAAACACATTGTGTGCACTTGATAGTTCTCGTCATACCTCAGCAAGAGTATGTTTGGTACAGAAAACCTGCATCCACGGTATTCTAGACAACCTTTAGCATACCCTTTGGAATGTTTTGTTAACTTTTTATTTCCCTCCGGTTTCAGCTTATGAAGAAAATGCTGCATAGCAATAAACCATCAGTCATAGACCAAAGAAACTTAACATACAAAACAGAAACAGTGTGGCCAGCAGAACTAGGGAAGCAACCGTCCCCCTGTACTCTGCCCTGGTGAGGCCACATCTGGAGCACTGTGTCCAGTTCTGGGCTCACCAGTTCAAGAGAGACATGGAACTACGGGAGAGAGTCCAAGGGAGAGCTAAAAGATGATGAGGGGACTGCAGCATCTCTCTTATGAGGAAAGGCTGAGAGACCTGAGGCTCTTTAGCATCGAGAAGGCTGACAGGGGACCTTCTCAACGCTCATAAATATCTAAAGGGCCGGTGTCAAGAGGATGGGGCCACGCTCTTTTCAGTGGTGCCCAGTGCCAGGACAAGGGGCAATGGGCACAAACTGGAGCACAGGAAGTTCCGCCTCAATATGAGGAAAAACTTTACATTGAGGGTGGCAGAGCACTGGAACAGACTGCCCAAGGAGGTTGTGGAGTCTCCTTCCCTGGAGATATTCAAAACCCACCTGGACACGGTCCTGTGCAACCTGGTCTAGGTGAACCTGCTTTAGCAGGGGGGTTGGACTAGATGATCTCCAGGTCCCTTCCAACCCCTACCATTCTGTAAGGAAATCAGAAGGTATCCTGAAGACGTACTCACAACCTTACTAGGCTGTTTCTTTCTCTTCAGGGATCAGAGGGCAGAAGAGATCTTTGTTTATCTACTTAAAGGTTATGTTTCTTTACCTGAAGGAAATAGTTCTTAAAGAAAACAGGAGTTCGTCTTTGTCCTTGCTTAAAAGGACTGCACATAAGCAATGATTCAAACACTACACCCAAAACAACTGCGATACTTCAGATAGGACCCAGGGCCTAACTGCCTCTGCCACTAAAATTTTAACCTCAAAGCAAATATTAAAATGAAGCACCTTTTATGTTAAGTGTACATTCATGTATCTTTAAAAAGTTATGAATTAAGCTTTCCACAACAAATGTATCTGCAATGTTACCAACGAAATATACATTATTGAAGACTACCTGAGGTGGCAGCCACATGTACAAGAGGACTACAGAATGCCCACACGAAAAAATACAATTAAACTCACATCATGAGTTCTGCTCTCCATTCATTGTCTCGCTCTTCAGTTTGGTTTAACGCTTTAACAATCTGAGAAAGGCTGGGAATAAGACAGTAGCGGAACCCAGGCTTAAGATATGGCCTCACAAGTTGCCAATAAAGAACTGAGGCATTATATATCAAAAAATAGTATCTGAAAAACAAGAATCAATAATTTAGTATTTCATGGACTTTGATAAACATAAACTTACAAAGTATTTTAAGGCACCCCTAAGAAGCAAAAAGCGTTAACTTTTCCTATGTGTTTAGATAAGAATCAATCCCGACTAAGAACTGAGAGCACAAGTACAGCACAAGAAGAATACGGTAACTCTTGCAACTACACTCTACCCAGTAATTAACCACTTACAATTAGCTAACATGGTGCTCTCCTCCCACAAAGCATAAATATAAAAAGGGAAGAAATGCTCAGAGATATCTACCAGCCTCAAACAGGCTAATTCATCCCTCCTATTTAAGACTGTTCAGTGCTCTTATATTGTTGCAGCATACACAGCAGTTACAGAAGCGCAGTAACAAAACGGAAGGAAAATCCACAAAAGCAAAAAAAAGCCAAACAACACAACTCCAGACTACCTAGTGAAAATCTGAGACAAACAACTATGAAAACATAGCTCAGTAACATTTCCTGAGATTACAGAGTTAATCCTCAGTAGGGCCTACCTTCGATCATGGGTGGCAAAATCTACTGCCTTCATAAAAAACAGCACAAACTTCTCAAACTCTTCCTGAAACAGAACAAAAAAAAAAAGTGTTAATGCAATTTGAATATGGCTTTTACAAATCAGTACATTATTTTCCTATTTCAATATGTTCACATCTCATAATTTTTATTTTCAGACCAATCTGAAATAAAACATGCTGCCATAAGAAGTTGCTGCCACAGAAACAAAATAACTGAAAACTGGTAGCATTGCCTATCACTATGTTTTCCTGATGTTAAATTTTAAGACTATATTTTCAGTTTCTTTCATTTCTGCCAAACTTTAATTATCAGGACTGAAATTTTCCAAAACCGTAAAGCTGAGTACTTTTTAAGCTTTCAGCAAAGAAAGCAAATAAACATCCAAGAGCAAAGACAGGGAAAAAAAAAAAACAACAACAAAAAAAACAAACCAACAACAAAAAAATGTTGGTTTGTCCCATTAAAAAACTTCAGGTATTATTTTCTTCAGAAAAGCTCCAACAAGAATTTGCCAACTGAATGGTGTGTCAGGCATGCTCTTTTTATCATCAAACCAGCTGGGAAGCAGCTTTTCAGAGGAAGACCCGGGGGTCCTGGTGGACACCAAGCTGAACGCTAGCCAGCAGCACGCCCTTGCTGCAAAGGCAGCCAACAGTGGCCCAGGCTGCCTCAGGAGAAGCACTGCCAGCAGGTCAAGGGAGGTGATCCCTCCCCTCTGCTCAGCACTGCTGAGGCCACACCTGGAGAGCTGTGCCCAGTTCTGGGCTCCCCAGTACAAGAGAGACATGGACATACTGAAGAGAGCCCAGCGCAAGATCACAAAGATGACGAAGGACTGAAGCATCTCTCCTATGAGGAAAGGCTGACAGAGCTGGGAATGTTTAGCCTGGAGAAGAAGGCTCGGGGGGGGGGGGGGGGAACCTCATCAGTATGTACAAATACCTGAAGGAAGGGTGTAAAGACGATGCATGGGATCATAAAAAGGGTTTTTTGAAAGCCTAAGAGAAAGATGCAGTAGAAATGGCAAAGTGGAGGTGGAACTGGACGGGCAGGAAGGGTATGACACCAGAGGGCTCTCTATAGTGAGACAGAACAGAATAACTAAAAACGCCAAGAGAGTTGGGACTGATTTACTGGACTCTGGGACTGGCATAAGGCAGCTACTGAGCAATGAACAGGAACTGCCTAGATAAAGAGAAAACCAGGACTAAGAGCCTGAGAAGTATTAGATACTAAAGTTGAAAAGTTGCACTCGGCCCTTCAGAACATAAGTAGCTTAACCAGCTAACAAGGATTCCTTAGGATGGAAACCAAAATAAGGACAAATTTTTCTGTTCTAAGTGAATGATGATTACCAGTCCTACAGCATGAGATGTGCCACTCCTCTTTTCATAAATGATCTAGGAACACAGCAGTGAAAAAATTTTACAACTGATACAAAAATGTATCTTAAAAGCACATTATGACACACAGCACAAGAAACCACTTTAGGATTGCACATATTGGGACAGTTACTTTTAAGAAGTTAGCAAGAGTCAAGAAGAAAACAGCAAAATTTGGCTGAGATTTAGAAAACAGAATATAAACAAATTGTAGTTTAGAAACACAAAAGGCTAACTGGACGTTAGAAAATAGTTTTCAAATATGTATGAAGTTTTAAAGGTCAAATGATCAGTGGTTACACACGTGCGACCAGAGAAGGCAGAGAAAGTACAGATAATGTAATAGGGCAAAGATTGTAGCTTGAAAGTTTATCCAAAGAAACTACAGCAACATCTGTCAGGGAAATCTGTGAACACAAATAACACAAACATCTGTTAAGGCCATTTTAAGGGGTCAGATATCATTGATAAATTGTCAAAGCTGACTGACTACAGACGAGGACAAGCGAAATACTAAGGACAGAAAACAGATTCCACTCTACTTTAAACTCAGCAGGAGGTAAAAACTGTTCATCATGTACAGACACAGTATCACCAAATAGTAACACACAGAAGCTTTTAGAAGCAGTAGTATTCTGCTGAGTTGCTACCAGAAAGCTTTATCTCTCATTTCATAAAGCCACATCCAAAGTACTACATGGAAAGGTTACTGATCAGTGGTGGAAACAACTACCACAGAAATTAACTGTACAACCTCTCTGAGGGCCCCTTTATTCCTCCATTCCCCATGATTCTATGAAAAGTTTAGTGTGATCCTGAGTAAAAATGGTAGTTGTTTTGCCAGTTACAGCTAAAGTTGGTCTGAAAGTATCACATTTATGTAAAAAGTGAAAATGTTGACTTTAAAACAATCGACTGCCTGAAAAATTTTGCAAGCATTCTTTTTTTTTTCCTCCCCCAAGTGTCTGCAATATTAGTCTAATTCAGCTGGTAAGCTTTGTTTACCCCCAAACTACCCATTACTATCTTTTCCTTTGATTTTTCCCACAGTCTTGATTACCCTTGTATTTTAAATGACTGAAAGCAATATGTAAAAGCCTAGGAAGAAAAAAAAAAAAAAAAAGGCTTAATATAATGCAACCTTTGTAATTTCTCACCAAATTATCTGTAGAGAGTGGAGTGTGCAACTGGCCTTGGCACAGATATGCTCTGCCAAGAAACTGGTTCACAGGGTATCTTCCTTTAAAATACATCTGTAGACAGTCACTGCTCATTTCCAGATATCCCAGCTAAGACCAAAAAAGCATTTTAATATTTAAAAAATGCAATAAATACTTAATTAAGAATTGTTAGTTTTTAAAAACGCATGCCTACTCAAAGTGTGACATCTAACTGCATACCAGTATGCAAACACTATTCTATAAAGCTGCATAGCAGATCTGGTACGAACCCATTAAGATTTATTAAAATTTATAGCTGGACTTTTGTCATTCCAAAGGTATAGAAAAATAGCTCCTTTATTTAGTAGAGAAGAAGCTCTTACAGTACACAGAAAATGTTTCCTTTTTTAAAAGTCATTAACAGAATCGTTAAGATAAAGGCAAAATTCTTAGTAGATTTTTTTTTTTAAAGGATGGATTTAGCCCACAGGATTTTGTATGCATGTCAGTGCTGCACCTCTATTTTCAGATGACAGAATCTGATTAGCCTGCAGCTTTGAAAAAAAAAAACAGCGTTTTATTAGAAACTCTGTCTGCTTGAAATCCAATCAATCACTTATACCCATGGACTGATAATTTAAAAATGCTTCAAAATGAAGAACCTCTATCACATTTTATAGAAGTCAGATCAATCAGATCTTTCATGACTAGAATGTCACCTTTTCTTCTTCTGCCCAGTAGGGACTGTTCACAAACACATTTTCTTCAGTCATAACCAAATTGCTAACGCAATTTCTGTGACAAGAAAAAACTGGCACGGCAAACTATTTTACAGTTCTATGGTATAGCTTGCACATTTTGGTCTAATTACAAACTTCACAAACCACAGTACGCTGACCGATTATAAAGAAGGCATAATTTAGAGACCAAGTTTTAACTGAAAATGCACGTTTAAACAATTGTTCTCCAAAACCACAAGAGTGTAATATTTTTCACAAGTGCTTCCGGGAATATTTTTAAGTAGTAACTTTAACAACTGTAAATACCATATGTCATATAAATGTTTTTATTCAATACAGATAAACTGCCTAAATTACAAACCTGAAATGCTTGTTCAGCGCACAAAACATATAAGTCAGTGCTGAAGTTATCTGATGAGTCAAGTGCAGACTTTCCTTGACTGGATGATTTGATCAACTCATAAGCACTCTTCAAGGCCTGAACATCTGAAATAAAAAAGGAATAAAGAATGTACAAGATAATTTATGCTTCAAGGCAGACTGACAGACACGACTGCATTATTTCAATTTAACTATAGAGCATCCTGTTTCTCCTTTACAGAAATAAATTATGAATGTTTAAGGAAAATAATGTCAAACAAATGTTGTTCAGAGCCAGACACGGTTCTAAGATGAAGTATTAGCAACTCTCGTGCATTTTAGACTCACTAACGTCAGCGCCCAAGAAGGTGAACTATTGTGAAGGCCCCACTCATTCGCAGTTCCCTGAACTCGACAGCACTCCTGCCGACTCAAAAATAAGAGGTTAGAGCCCCAAAGCTGCTATGTGACATGAACTGGACTGGAAGAAAACTAGATTAAACTAAGAACATTGCACAAGTGACTTCTTTCCGTAACTAAGAAGCACGTTTAAAGCACCATCCTGAGGAAGAACACGTTTTCTATGTATTTAGAAACGAAGCAATTCAGATCGGCCAGTTTTCGTGTGTAAAGCGCGGTTTTCCCGCGTGGTTGCTCTCGCCACCCCCTCACCTC